GGGAGCGAGGGGGGGGGGGGGGGGGGGGGGGGGGACTGTCTGCTCTGTAACCCGGGTTCCCCTACGCTGGGGTGTGTGATTCCTACTGACTCACCCACATGTGGATTGGCCCAGACACCTAGCCCCAGCCTGAGCAGGTAACAAGGCTCTTCCCAGGGGGAGAGACAAAGGAAGGGAGGTGGAGACGGCACCTGGCTGGGGGCAGGGCCTGGGAACTGGGCAGCTTTTGGCTGGGATGACATGAAGATAACCCGGGTTCCCCTACGCTGGGGTGTGTGATTCCTACTGACTCACCCACATGTGGATTGGCCCAGACACCTAGCCCCAGCCTGAGCAGGTAACAAGGCTCTTCCCAGGGGGAGAGACAAAGGAAGGGAGGTGGAGACGGCACCTGGCTGGGGGCAGGGCCTGGGAACTGGGCAGCTTTTGGCTGGGATGACATGAAGAGAGGAGACTAAGCTGAGTACTGAGCGGTCAGGGGTCTGTGGGCCCCCACCCCAAGGGCTCTGGGGCATCCTGGCCCTGGCCCCTGTAACCGCATTACGTCTGTGCCGTGCCGTATCCCGGAGAAGCAGTAAACCCTCGATTCTACTGGCTGGCAGAGTCTCATCTTGCTGCGGACGGGGGTGCAGGATCGGGGGGCTCCCCAATGCGCCGTCACAGAGACACAGGGCTTTCTGAGCACTCCCAGGACTGAGGCTAGAGGCAGCGAGTCGCACAGGTGGGGCTGGCCAGGCTGGGAGACGGAGCGGAGGCCCCGCTCATTGCTGACCTGTTTGTTGTGCTTTACAGTGGAAAGCCGACGGCATCCCCCGGAACACGCCGCGTGGTGTCAGACGGAGCTCTCCCCCACCCGGCCTCATGCCACGCCTCCACCGCCCACCCGCCCAGACAGGTGCGTGGCACATGGTGATCCTGCCTCTTCCTACGTGGCAGGAACGCGGCAGGGGACTGCACCCCGGCTCAGCCACCCTACGGCTGCGTTCCAGGCTGGGCCCCCTGCCCTCCATCTCACGCGTGGCAGCTGGATGCAGCTGCCCAGTGGCATGCTTACTTCCTCTGCCGCTGGTGGAAACGTGGTTCTCCGGGTAGGGCCGCTAGTCCCCAGCCAGCAGGGCGCTCTCCCCAGATCTGGCTCCCAGAACCGGGGATGTAAGCAAGCGCACAGACTGGAATAAGAGCAAGGCTTGAAACATCACCAGGGACCTGGGAGAGGGGAGGCTGGGAGGACACAGGCAGGGAGGGGAGTGATACTGCATGCCGGGCTCCTGGGATTGTTTCGTTAATACTGTGAGGCCACCAGAGTTACTGGAGGCGGCCAGACGCCTGCCCAGTGCTAATGCGTCACATCACGTTGGTTCTCTCTGTCTGGGAGACAGCGCCTGCCCCTACGGGGTCTCAGCATTTACACAGCACTCTCCAATCCGGATGTGGGCCCAGAAGCATCGTCCGCACTCCTGACCCGGCCTTCCAGAGTCGCCGTTTTCCTGCCAGTGAAGAGCGGATTGTTCTTTGCAGGGTCCGCACACCCAGCACTGAGCCTCCAGGCGGGACGGAGACATCCACCCCCAGTCCCAGCGAGGGGAGAGGTGTTGTGGAGAGCAGAGATCCATGCATCCTGGACAAAGACCGTGGCGTGAAGTGCACCAACTACTCCTTGCTGTGGTACTACCGCGTGGACACGGGTTCCTGCGAGCGCTTCTGGTACGGTGGCTGCAGGGGCAACGCCAACCGGTTCAACAGCGAGCAGGACTGCATCCGGGTGTGCATTGACCGAAGTACGTGGTGTCCGGAGGGGAGCGTGGCCCTGTCTTGGGGAGATGGCACCAATTCAGTTCACTTTCTCGCTTGTAAGGCCAGGCCAGAGGTTGGGCAAAGGCAGTGCGGGATCGCGGGGGATTGAATCGCTCTGCTTCCTTGGCTGTGCAGCCTGTTATCTCGCCTTGCGGCTGTCTTGCCAAGCCTAATTTCCAGAATCCATTGCGGCGGCGGCTCAGCTGTTTTCAGCATTCCGCCCATGGCAGGTTCTTCTCCAAGAGCTTTGACTGAATTCTGGCTCCACCCAGGAACACGGTTCGGGACTGTCCTCGCTGTAGTCAGCAGCTTTGCTTCTCAGCCACGGTGCTAATGACTTCATGTGCTCTTCCTCCAAGCAGAGAGATGTGGTGAAGAGCAGGACTTCAACGGGGTTCAAAAAAGAACTAGATCCATTCCTGGGGGTGGGGTCCATCACTTCTTACTAGCCAGGATGGGGAGGCATGGTGTCTCTAGCCTCTGTTTGTCAGAGGCTGGGATTGGGTGACAGGAGACAGATTACCTGATGATTCCCTGTTCGGTTCACTCCCTCTGGGGCACCTGGCATTGGCCACTGTTGGAAGACAGGACGGTGGGCTAGTTGGACCTTTGGTCTGATCCATGATGGCCGTTTTTATGTTCTTCGTCCTGGCTGATACTTTCACAGGGAGTTTTCTGGCTCCTTAAGGTGGCTGGGGCTTGGCCTCACCTGGGTCAGGTGTATCCCCACCTCCTCGGTGAAGGGACGGAGTCTCAGGGGTCACATGGTGGGAGGGTGTGACTCAGAATTGGGCCTGCTAAGGACGATAAGGGGAACGTGAGTTCAGCCACCTCCTCCCATCACATGACCACTTGGAATCTTTCCCTTCACCTGGAGAGGCGGAGCTCCCGCGGGTGCACTCCCCCTTAAAGGGCCAGGTCACCCTTTGAGAGAGGTCCTGGTGCAGAACCCTGTTGCGTTGCTGCCACGGTCGAATACAACTCAGAATTGGGCCTGCTAAGGACGATAAGGGGAACGTGAGTTCAGCCACCTCCTCCCATCACATGACCACTTGGAATCTTTCCCTTCACCTGGAGAGGCGGAGCTCCCGCGGGTGCACTCCCCCTTAAAGGGCCAGGTCACCCTTTGAGAGAGGTCCTGGTGCAGAACCCTGTTGCGTTGCTGCCACGGTCGAATACACCACGTCCTCTGGGCCAGCGCCGCCACTCCAGCGGCTGAGATTGCTCCTTCCTGAGTGCAGGGCGGGGGGGACTGAAGCGAGACTGCATTGGCTCTGTTGCCGCTCCCCTCGGGATGCTCTGACCATTGTGCCTCTCTTGGATACAGGCTCGGGGGAAGAGAAGAACTTGACTCAAGGTAAGCGCTTTGTGGAAGGATCGAGGCTGGGGCCCTGGCCCCCTTTGCAGCGGGTCTCATGAGCTGAGCTGCCCTGCGGGAGGGGCCGTCTGCCGGGGAAGTAGGGCACTGAGCATGTGGACTGTTGTCAGACGGGGGGTCGGGACCCCCTAGGAGTTTGCAAGATTATTACACAGGGCCCCTGCCTCACCAGTACAAAAGTCTGAGGCCACTAGCTAGTGGGCGTCCCTCTGGGGAAATCCAGTGTTTTGCAGCAAGGGGCCCCTCAGAGTTTGGAGGTTCCGTCGGGCTAGGCACACGGGGAAATACGGTCAGGCCGGTTGGTCCCTGCCACGGGGGGATCTCCAGTGAACCCCCTCTGTGCTCTGGGATCCTTCAGCGTGAAGCGAGGCAAGACCTGCGGCCCTCGGAGCTCGTGTAACCCTGTGCATGGGAGAATGCCCAGCTGGGGAAGGCAAGCCCTAGCCCCGCCCCTTCCACCGGAGGCCCCGCCCCTTCTGCAGCCCCGCCCCTGGAGCCACGCCTGGCCCCTACTGCAGTGACTGGCCCCCGTCCCAGGTCACAGCCCCCAGCCCCTGAACATCCCCACGCCCTTTAGTCTTCCCCATCACAGCAGATGGCATGGCCTCACCTGTCCCAGCCAGCTGGAGACTGGGCACCATGCCATAGCCCGGTCCTTCCCCACTAGCCAGGAGGCCAGGCAGCGACGCTGCGGCCACAGCCATCCCAGCCAGGCAGCGTGTGGGCAGTTTTGGGAAGGTAATGCCTTCCCTTGCCTGTATTACCCACCGCCCATGTGTATAACCCCTTGGTTAGTACCTATTACAGGTCCCCTTCTGGGCTATCCACAGGGGTATGAATCCCAGGCAATCACAGCCAGCAAAAAACCTGCAGAAGTTTCTTTTTTTACCGCTGGAAATCCCTGGTCAATGGTGCCTCTGATCTTTTCCATCCATGTGTGGAATAATTTTATGTGCACCACGGCCTGTATGAATGTGCACCACCAATAGAAACAAAACAACCTTGCTGTGAGCGCTCTTGCTAATCAGCTGCGGGGGGAGGAGGGGAATGTGAATCTTTCCTGAGAGGCTGCAGCAGCCAGTCTGTCCCTGGAGTGTCTAGCTGGGCCCTGAGAGCAGCACCCCATGAGTTCTCCGACTGTATCACGAGCTCTCTGCCGCCTGTTGTGTTTTGCAGCGCCTGCCACTCCTTCACCTTGAAGTGGTTCTTTGACAAGACCGAGCCTGCACACTGCTCCCGCTTTTGGTACGGGGGCTGTGAAGGGAACCGGAACCGGTTTGAGACCCAGGAGCTGTGCGAATCCCTCTGCCTGCCCTTAGTAGGGCAGAGGCTGCTGCCACGGCCCCCAGAGGAGGCTGTGCAGGCTGACGAGTCCAGGCCTGGCTGTGCGACAGGGGCAGGTGTGTGAGGCACCTCCAGGAGAGAGCGAGGAGGAGGGGGCGCCTGTCGTCTCCTGCCATGCAATCCGGTTCCGCTGCTGCCCGTTCTCTGCCCCTGAACTGCCAGCCCCCCGCATGCCCAGGGCACATGTTGCATGGAAGCCGGGGCTTTTCACATGCTGTGCGCTAACTCTCTGCTCCCACTCTCCCCCGGCCTGCAGCCAGCTGGTTTGCATAGTCTTCTGCTTGCAGAGACTGGGGCTCCCTGCCCATCAGCAGCCCCCGGGGCGAGCTGGGACGCCACGTCCCAGTTTCAAAGGCCGCTCTGCTGAGAGATCCCGAAGCATCTCCCCCTTCCCACCCAGCCTGGCCTCCAGCCTCAAATCCCATCTTGCTCCTCATTCGTGTACACGGCTTATCCAAGCGGCTGCGCTGGGAGGCAGGCAGGACTCCTAACATGTGCAAGGAACAGGCCCTGGGCTGGATCAGGCTTCCGGGGCTCTTGGGGTTACCCCCCGTTCTTCATTTTGGGGTTCGTCCCCAGAGGAGCCCGGCTGATCTGGATGGAACAGAAGCAAGCGAAACACCCTGTGGGGTGGGAAGGAGAGTTTGATTTGATTCAAACCCACCCTACATGAATCCGCATGGCACTGAGCCGGCGCCTGGAAAAATGCACAAATATGTGAGGATCAGATTTTCCAAATAGCCGGGCACCGGACAAGTCTCGGGAGGGGTCTCCGTGCTAGTCTGTACCCACATAACAACCCGCAGTCCTGGGGCACCTCAGGTTTATTGGGGCATAATCCATCCTGGGCAAAAAACCCACCTTTGCTCTGACGAAGTGGGGGTGTTGCCCACGAAAGCTGACGCCCAAATAAATCAGTTCGTCTTTAAGGTGCCACAGGGCTCCTTGTTGCTTTTGTGCCTCGGACAACTCCCACTAAGACCCTTCAGGAAGGATCTGGCCTTCCGCCCTCCTGAGGATCTGGCCTGTTCTCTGTCCTGGAAGCCCATTTTGCGCGTGCCGACAAAGGAGGTCGTTGCACGTCTTGCTGCCTGACTTGCCCGCCTGTTTTTGCAAGTGCAGCTGCCCAACCGGAGCACGGGGCTGGAACGCAGACCCTCCCCCTTGCCAGAGGCGAGGCTGCTGCACGCTAGGATCTGGCCTTCCGCCCTCCTGAGGATCTGGCCTGTTCTCTGTCCTGGAAGCCCATTTTGCGCGTGCCGACAAAGGAGGTCGTTGCACGTCTTGCTGCCTGACTTGCCCGCCTGTTTTTGCAAGTGCAGCTGCCCAACCGGAGCACGGGGCTGGAACGCAGACCCTCCCCCTTGCCAGAGGCGAGGCTGCTGCACGCTAGGGTCTGAAAACATCCAATGGTATTTTTAACCAAATAAACCCCTGGTTAACCTCGCTGGTGCGGCCGCCAGGGGAAGAAGGTGCAAGAAGGGAGAGGGCATGTCCCACCTGCCCCAGGAGCGGGAATTCTGGGGCATGGGATGAAAAGGAAGAGAGGCGGTGGCTCGGGGATGTATTCCCGGCGGTGAGGAAGCCACCGTCGGTGGGATATTGTCTCACGGTGATGTGAGGGAGTCTTAGTGCTTGAATCGCTATAAGTCACCCGAGCTGGGGCAAGCAGGCAGGGGAGGACACCTTCGCGTTGGCCAAGGAGCTAACCCAGAGGGACCCCCCTACGTCTCTGCTGTCTGCCCGGTCCTTGGGCTGTAGAGAGGGGGTGAAGCGCCCAAACCCACAGTGGCAGGGGCGGCTCGCAGGGCAGCTAAGCACCACGGCCGGGGACCACGCAAGCCCAGGCCGTGTGGGAGGCAAACCGGAGAGCGAGGGCGCGCAACACCTGGCTGTGCCAGGGCAAAATCGAGATCTTCCCCCGGTGAAACTGTCCTGAGTACGGAGGACTGCTCGCCCACCCTGGCGGGGGCCCAGGCCATTGGAGAACAGGGTCGTTAAAGAACAGGGTCCCATCTCCCCACCACCTGGCTTTCCTTCTACCCCAGCAGGTGCAGACGTCCCCCGCAGAATGGGAGCCCCGTTTCCCTGGATACAGCGGGGAGCGAACGGTGCTGTGACGGGGGCTCGTTCGCGGCTCATGCAGCTCTCCTCCGCGCCTGGGCAAGTCCCTAGGAAACTTGTTGGGGGTGGGAAGGAAAACACCATCCGGCTCCGTAGCTCCAGGGGCAGGAGGGATCCAGCCTGCTGGGGATCCCGGCTGCCTCTAGGTTTCTTCCCCCCACCCCTTCCCCTGACTGCTTTGGATGCTCAGCCTCCAGGGTCAGGTCTGCGAAATGCTGGCGACCATTCAGATCTTGTAAAGAAACGCACGCCCCCTTGCGGCTACCAGAACCCTTCCTCTTTCCCCGACATGGGATGCCTGAGCACTACCGGGTCCCTCTGTCCTCTGTCTGGCCTGCCTGGCTCCTTCATAGGCCTGGAGCCCTTTGGGCAGGGACGGTCTCTCACTAGATGGCTGAACAATCCCCAGCACCGCAAGGCCCTGCTTTCGGCTGGTGGCGCCTCTGGGTGCTAGTAGAATATTGCTACTGCGGCAGCCACGGGCAACCGGGGCTCGTGCATGGGCTGCAGGCGTGATCAGCGGGCCCAAGATTGTTGTAATCAAGGCGGTCTCCCGGGACGGGGCAGTTTGTTCCCTGCACTGGCATCCCTAGATCGTGGAGGGGGGGGGGCGCCGACTGGATTGTAGCAGCGCTGGGATTGGCTGCCGAGGGGGCGCCCGGCTCCCACAGTGCTGTGTGCAATCCACACGCCCCTCCCTCCACCCGCCCTGGCTGTACGTGTCACGTTAGTAACACCGGTAGGGAAAAAAAAAACAACCGACGTGGCTGGAAAGCAGCGGAATCTGTCAACCTTGTGCGTGGGCAACAGTAACCAAATGTCTCGTGGGTCACACACCCCGCCCCGGACCACACACTGCTCTGTGGGGACGGAGGGATGAAGAACATGAGCCCTGGAGCAGGTGGAGACACGCGACCTTTCAGTCCCCTCCTGTCATGCTTAAAACCAAGAAGCCGGGTGACTTTGGAATGGAGTGTGTTCCTGTCTCTGCTACTGACCTACTAGGTGACCTTGGGCACATCTCTTCCCCTCTGCTTCCCCACAGCTGTTGCACCCCTTCACCAACCCTGCCTGAGCTCTGTGGAGGGTCCAGCTAGGCCAGGGCATGCTGGCCCGTGACCTCCACCCAGCTGAAAGCTCCATTTTCTGCGTACCCAGCCCATAGCAGGGAAGTCTCTGCTCCTTAACCCCACCGAGCCGAGGCTGGAGGGGGCAGAAGGGACAAGGCAGCAGGTCCTGCTCCGTGGGCAAAAAGGCATGACCTGCTAGTGAGGATGCCATCACCTAATCTATTATTCAAGAGCCACTGGAGCTGTCGTGCCGCTCTGAGTTAGTGTAAATCCGCCATCAATTATGTAACCCTTTTACAGTTCAGTGCCAGTCCAACCAGATCAGACAATAACCTGGTAAGTCAGGCAGGCGGAGTTGGCCCGACCAAAGCCTTTGGTACCAGGGACCCATGCTGTGCCCACTACAGCTGCCTGGCTGCCATGAGGGAAGGCCAGCCGATCCCCCCCGAATATGTGTTGATCATCGTAAATTGTGAAATCCACACTGGTCCAACTTCAGTGGCCACTTTCTTTTTGGAAACCCCTTTCTTCTGCATGCTGATGAGATCTATTTTTGGTACCTGCCCCTATTTTTGGTAGCTGCCTACACTGCCCCTCCTTGCGCAAGAAAAACCCTCTTGCGCAATGCCGTTACGCCAATTATTTTCAGGAATAACAGAATACAAACACGCACCTTCCTGTAAGTTACATTTTTGCACTTCCAGTAGGAAATTAAGATGTATTACTAGCAGTGAGCGATGAGGTTACAGTGCTTGTGTGTTTGTTTAAGGGCTCTGTATTACAGATTTACAATTATTCCTTGGTATCTAATGACAAACCTGCAAAAAGCACATAGTCGCCCTTATAGAAGTCACACATTGAAGTCAAAGGAACACGTGTTCTAGGACGTGTGTAACTCTTTCACATAAAACCAGGCAGTCACTCTGGCTACATCTAGACTGGCATGATTTTCTGCAAATGCTTTTAACGGAAAAGTTTTCCGTTAAAAGCATTTGCGGAAAAGCGTCTGTGCCAATCAAGACGCGCTTTTGCACAAAAAAGCCCCGATCGCCATTTCAGCCATCGGGGCTTTTTTGCGCAAAACAGTACTGTGCTGGCTACATTGGCTTTTGCCCGAATGGGAGCATAGTATTTCCGCAAGAAGCACTGATTTCTTACAGTAGGAAGTCAGTGGTCTTGCGGAAATTCAAGCGGCCAGTGTAGACAGCTGGCAAGTTTTTCCGCAAAAGCAGCTGATTTTGCGGAAAAACTTGCCAGTCTAGACACAGCCCTTGGTAAAACACATTTTAAATACTTGGTTGCACTGTGTGTGGGGAGGGAGGGCGACTGCCCCACACTGGCCAGAAGGGGTTAATGCAGGCTGGAGGGAGCTTGCACAGAGATCTGGACAACTAGAGAGAGGCTTTTTAGTAGCCAATCAGGGTGTGGCTTGCTGGGACAGCCCTGTATATAAGGAGCTGCCCAGTGAAGAGACTCAGTTAGGTCCTGACTGGGGAAGGTGCAGGGCATGGCTCCTAGAACAGCACTTGCATGAGAGCGGTGCTGGGCAGGGTCGAGGGGCTAGCGAGGGAGGCCCCAGACTGAGACCTGCCAGGCTGCAGCCTTGCCACTAGGGCAGGAGGGTGCAAAGGGTCACAAGGGAAGCGGCCCAGGGAGCAAGAGGCAGTGAAGAGGAATAGAGGGGGACAGGACCCTGCAGAGTGGGTGGGCCTGGGTCCCTCTTTGCATCCCACCTTGCCGCCAAGGCATGGCCCATACAAACCGTGGCTTGCTCCTGAGACAGAGGGGCTAGGTTTAGAGGCCACAGTCAGCCACAGTGGCAGCCACATGAACGACTGTCAAGAAACCCCCGGAAGGGGTGTCCAGAGGGCAGTGTCCTGAAGAGGATGCTGAAGTCTGGGAGTAGGATTGCCAGATTTAACAAAAAATACCGAACACCCTCCCCCGCAAAAAAAAAAATACCTGGGAAAAAATTCTGCTGAGAAAAAAAAAGGGGGGGGGGGGAGATCAAAGTTATTGAGAGGGGGGGAAAAAAAAAAAGATGCTGGTCCTTTAAATGGCCCGTGCTCCTCCGCCAGACGCAGCAGGGGAAAATTGTCGCCTCCCGGCTTCCATCCGAGGGAAACAGGAAATTTCGGACATTTCGCATGTCTGGTATTTTCTGTTTTCTTTACCGGATGGGGGACCCAAATAATGGACAGTCCAGGTGGAAACCGGACACCTGGTACCCCTGCCTGGGAGTGATGCGGGTCCAGACTTAGAGCTGTATGGCCAAAAGATACAGCAAGTTTCTAGTGTAACTAGACCACCCCCGCGTGGGTACCAGGCTGCGAAGGGCCTGCCCAGTGCCGTGTGCTGAGTTGCTTGCGACACATCAGTCTAGGGCAGGGCTCCCCGACCTTTGCAAGCACGAGATCACTTTTTGAATTTAAGTGCAATCCAGGACCTCCCTCAAATCCAAACATGCTTGCCCCGCCCCTTCTCCAAGGCCCCGCCCCTACTCACTCCATCCTTCCTCCCTCCCCCATCCTCACGCACTGCTATCAGGCTGGGGGGCAGAGGGCTGGGGTATGGGGGAGGGGAGTACGGACTCTGATCTTGGGCTAATGGATTCAGAGTGCGGGAGGGGCTCTGAGCTGAGGTGGTTGAACAGCCGAGGGGCTCAGGGTACGGGCTCTGGGAGGGGTGCAGGGGGACTTGGGCCTAAGGCTTTTGGGGGGGCAGGAGGGGCTCAGGATTGGGGCCGAGGTTTGGATGCAGGCTCTAGCTGGGCACTGCTTACCACAGGTGGCTTCTGGGGGGTGGTGCAGGGGGCTAAGGCAGGCTCACCTCTGCTCCCAAAAGCAGCCAGCAAACTCTCTCCATCCCTGCCCCCCCTCCGTGGAGATGGGGTACAGGGTGGAGGGAGGGGCACCCTGATATCACCACCCCCTTCTCTTCTTTCTGTGCCTTGCACAGCAAGCAGGAGGCTCCCAGGGGTGAAAGGCAGCTCCAAGGCAGAGGAACACCTAAGTGCCGGCAGTTGATAGATTCCTGGCCGAATCCCTCAGGATCACCTATCAAAGACTCCAAAATCCACCGTCGATCCCGATCGACTGGTTGGTGGCCACTGGCACAGTGTGTTCTCAAGGCTACTTTTTTATTCATTGAGGTATACATGAATCTTCTAGGCAAAAGGCTTTCCGCCTTGGTCAATGATATGGCTGTGTTATAGCACACCAGGAGAGAACCGTTTTACGAGTCTATTTACAAGAGACAAAATGTCATAATCCATTACCTTTAATTTGAAATCACATTTGGAGTTACATGAAAATTCTTGTATTAATCTCTCTCTATATATATATATATAAAAAAAGTTTTTCCTGCTGGATGACAGAATGACGTCAACAGGCTCTCAGCGAAGTGAAAGCGGCCGGGTGGAGAAGAGGGGGAAGGTGAGCGCAGCAAGCAGAGGGCACAGGCCCCTAGATCCCCCTTTAAAATGTGAATATATGATGTGTATGAATCTTTAGTGACAATACAAAATACTGTCGGAACAATCCCCCGAGATTAGGGTTGCCAGGTGTCCGGTTTTGAACCAGACAGTCCAGTTTTGAGCTTTCTGTTCGGGAAACAAATTGAGAAAATAGAAATGTCCGGTGTTTTCTAAATAAGATGGAATGTTGATTGCGATGTCATGTCAAGTGTCTCCGGTATTTTTGTTGAAACCATCTGGCAACCCCACGCGCGATAGCAGGAAATGAAATAAGTGTTTACAGAGGTCGAGGGCACATGCAGATTGGTTCAAAAAAAATCACATTCCAGTGGAAAATAGGGCAAGAGAACAGCAGCTAAAGACGCTGTCAAGGACACTGTGTTGAATTCCTTCCCCTTATCTCACCAGCAGGCCTGTTGTGTCTAGCTCCCCTGCTCTGGAGTTGCAGCACCAAGCTGAATTCAGCTTGACCTATAGACTGACCGTGTAATTTACTTGGATTTATGGAGTGACTCGCTATGCTAGCCATCAGTGTTAAAATGACATGATGTTAGAAGGACCCGAATCCTTATTCAGTCCAAATGGCAATTTTCTTTAATTCTGTTGTCAGTGTTAAAATGACACGATGTTGGAAGGACCCGAATCCTTATTCAGTCCAAATGGCAATTGTCTTTAATTCTGTTCCCTTCCAACCCAAGGGATCACTTCCACAGCCCTGACTTGCCTTTGCACCTTTCCTGGGCACGTTGACCAATGTCACAGCCCGACAAGGAGCAGGAACTAAAGACGCTTATCACCGTGCACACCGTGTGTTGCACAATCTAAGTCACGTTCAGGCTTCCAGGATGGTTTTTTGGTCCCAGGTAAATAGCAGCCAGACTCAAAAACATTTTGCTTTTTCTCCTTGGGATGATAAAAAGTCAAACTGACAAGGGGACCTTTGTGAAAATGAAGTAGAAGGTCCCAGTCCCGTTCCTCCCGGGCGGGCGTCCAGAGCACAGATGCCATCAGTGGATTTGGCAAGAAGGAGTATTTTGGTTAGCTTGGATCGAGCATCAGCATTTTTTAAATTCTCCATGAAGTGGAATTCCTGCTCCACTAAGCTCTAAAGCAACACAGCTGGGGGTCCTGGGAGCCTTAGAAGCCCCCAGGGATACACCTGGTGGGCTACTCTAGACAGGGATCTTGTAGGGTCTCTAGCTCCGGCAATTCCCACAACTTCCAGGCTGCCAGCTGCCAGCTTCCCATCAACCCAACTTGCAGGCAGCTGAGGAGCTGGGATCTGGGAAACCCAAGGACCCCAGCAGCCTGCCAGGTGGCCAGGCCTACCAAGGAGCCAGGCAGGTGATCGGTGAAGCAGCCAAGCGGGTTTTTCAGGGAATCCTGCCCGGCAGGCAGAGGAAGTGGTTTCAGCGAACTTGGACTCGCGCACGCTCATGCTGGAAGAAGAGCATTCACCGCTGGAGTTAATCCGGAATAGCAATTCTAGACTCACGCTCCAGGTAGACAAGCCCTGAGCCTGATGAGACGTGCCTGCTGCCATTGCTCTGGCCTCGCTGTGCTAGTCCCCACCCTCTCGCCCCAGCTGTGAGGGCAGATGAAGATGGTTTCAGCGAACTTGGACTCGCGCACGCTCATGCTGGAAGAAGAGCATTCACCGCTGGAGTTAATCCGGAATAGCAATTCTAGACTCACGCTCCAGGTAGACAAGCCCTGAGCCTGATGAGACGTGCCTGCTGCCATTGCTCTGGCCTCGCTGTGCTAGTCCCCACCCTCTCGCCCCAGCTGTGAGGGCAGATGAAGACGCAGCATCTCCTTACCCAGAGAGGGGCTGGCGGGGGATTGCAGGTACCACTTGCCAAAGAGACATCTGACTCTCCCAGTGGCAAGCACATCTCTCCCGCTGGAACGTCCCTCGCCAGCACCCGCTGCAGCCAATGCAAACCCAGCCCACGCACAGCCGCCACTTCTAGCAGGGGCCCGATGGCCCCTCGTCTCATGGGCACGATTCCTCCGTCTGGGTTCCCCTGAGTCAGGAAAGCAGCTAAGCACCCCCCTGAGTCCCCTTGAACATAGGGGAACTTAGGCATGTGCTTTGTCCTTTCCTGACTCGGGGCCAGCACGAGAGCCAGCTGCACCCTCATCCCCCCCAGGTGCAGAGGCAGCCCAGCCCAGGCCCCCCCCAGGTGCAGAGGCAGCCCAGCCCAGGCCCCCCCCAGGTGCAGAGGCAGCCCAGCCCAGGCCCCCCCCAGGTGCAGAGGCAGCCCAGCCCAGGCCCCCCCCAGGTGCAGAGGCAGCCCAGCCCAGGCCCCCCCCAGGTGCAGAGGCAGCCCAGCCCAGGCCCCCCCCAGGTGCAGAGGCAGCCCAGCCCAGGCCCCCCCCAGGTGCAGAGGCAGCCCAGCCCAGGCCCCCCCCAGGTGCAGAGGCAGCCCAGCCCAGGCCCCCCCCAGGTGCAGAGGCAGCCCAGCCCAGGCCCCCCCCAGGTGCAGAGGCAGCCCAGCCCAGGCCCCCCCCAGGTGCAGAGGCAGCCCAGCCCAGGCCCCCCCCAGGTGCAGAGGCAGCCCAGCCCAGGCCCCCCCCAGGTGCAGAGTCAGCCAAGGCTGGGCTTTGGCTGAGCATGGGGTGCTGGGCGCCGGGCGGAAGTAAGGGCAGTCAGGAGATGCTCCCTCGATCCTGCAAAGCAAACATGGGGAGGAGAGGGTGTGACAAATGATCCCTATGAACTTCGGGAGCTGTAAGTGTCACTTCACCCTGGGGGCCGCCCCCCCGCCTTATCTGAGACAGATTTCCAGGGGCCCACAGGGCAGCGAGGGAGGGATGTAATAGTGGAGTCGATTAACCATCAGCCATGGCGCCCCGGCGCCAGCCCCCCAACATCCCCTCGCAACATGTGATTGTTCAGCCATGCAGCCCAACCGGTCTCATCCCCGTTGCTACTCACCCCCTGAGCCTTTGCTAAGCCCAGTGGATGGGAACGTTGCTGCAGAGGATGTTAATTGTGGTGCCCAGGATGGAGCGAACAGCCAGGGGCACGGAGAATTCTTCCTCCTCCTCTTCCTCCTGCTCGGGAGTCAGGATAAGTGACCTGAGCTACATTAGGAAATAATAGAATGTAACCCCCCTCCACCCGCACAACCTTGGCAGCCCCGCAACTGTCTCCTCATGCCCATTAAACTCCCATCCCTCCTTCCCACATGGCCATTGCTTCTGAAGCAACAAAGCCTTTCTAGCAACGCTGCCCTGGCTGGAGATATACAGGCCAGCCTCGTTTAATAAGACCTAGAACTATCTGAATACTAGCCGGTGAGGGCAAAGTCATTTTGCGTAGATTATACTTATAGGAAACTTCAAGAAATTAAATAGCTGCCATAGATTTTTTTTATTAACGTGCTTGCAAAAGGGAAGTCTAGCTGCCATAGATTTTTTTTTTATTAACGTGCTTGCAAAAGGGAAGTAAAAGAACAGTTTTGAATTGGCAGGATTTCAACTTCAAACATGATTCGTTTCATTGGATGAGAACCATCCCTAGTAAACTCGAATCAGGAAATCAAAGCTTCCGTTACTCTTTTGAACTCTTTTGCGATTTGTAACTAAACGTTTTCTTTGCACTAAAATGACAGTTGACTAGGCGACTCAGTTTGAATTTTGTTAGCACGACCTTTTTCCGGTGAAAAACAAAAACAATTATTTAAACCTTTCACCCAGCATATTCCAGTGTAAAACATAGTGCATTCCGGCTAAGTTAAGTGGCAGGATTGTTTATGCAAAATTTGAAGTATGGCTTTGTTTGGGACATTCACTCTTCAAAATATATAATAGATAAATGTGGAAGGCAGCGGGGGACTAGTGGTTATAGCAGATGATGAAAGATTCAGGACTCACTTCAGCTGTGTGGCCTAATAGACCAAGCAAAGGCCTGGTAGTCCAGATTTCTGTGTTCTATTTTTCACTCTGCCACTCACTCACCGAAGCACTCGACTCATCAGTATTTCTCTTCATCATCAAACACCTCCCCCCACCTTAGGACTTTGAGTGTCAAGCAGCATTAGCGAAGTATTTCCATACCCTCATATATCACATGCTTTATGAAGGCCATTCGCTCTTACTCACAACAGCTGGTGAATGTAAAAGATCCAAACTAGAGGAACAATTAAACTCCAGAGGCTATTGTGGAATTACTGGAAGTGTTAGGGCCAAATTTCCACCCCCGCCTGCATCAAGCGGAATGTGTGTGTACAAAGGAGAGCGACTGTGAGCATGCTCACAAACACCCCAGCAACTAGACACGCACTAGCCTGTTTTGCACGTGCAGCTGTTTTTGCTGGCCCAGCTGATGACTGTGCATAACACCAGGTGTCCAATGGACCATCCAGTGCAATTTTGATGCTTGGGGTCTAAATACCCTCTTAGCTTTGTTATCTGTTTATCTTCCACCCTCCACATTCTCTGTTGGCCTCAGATTCAGCATTGCTTGAGTGCAAGGTTCCCCATTCATTACCTTTCTATCCTGCATGGTTCACACTGAGTCCTTGTCTACACTACTGCGGGCCATTGACCTAAGTTACACAGCTCCAGCTACTTACAAACGTAGCGGAACGCGACACAATTGGATCTGCTTCCCGTGGAATCATCACGGCGGTAAGTCCACAGCTGATGCTCCCCCGTCAATCTGCCCCCTCTTCTCGTTTTGGTCCAGTACGGGAATTGATGGAAGAGCGCTCGGCGGTTGATTTATCATGTCTATACTAGACGTGATAAATCGACCTCCGCTGGATTGACCGCTACCCGCGGACCCAGCCCATACTGAAGACATGCTCTCAGTGTGCCTTCTAGGCTGCTCACCTGGAGATGCTGGTGGAAGGCTTTGGCAATAGCATCCAGGCCCAGAATGTTCTCCTGGTCCATCCTGGTGAGGTAGCAGGCTCGGCCTTGCCAGGATCTGTAGCCGATCAGCAGCTGTTTGCAGATAGAGCATGTGGTGATTCCCCACAGCTAACCCGCCCTCCCACACTGCACGCCGTCCAGGGCATTCTCTCTCTGTGCTCCTCTCGTTTGCTGAGCCCAGGCGCCTCCTGGACCCTCCCCAGGCCTTTCTTTGTGCCCTCAGCTCGAGATAGTTGGTGCCTCACCCCAAACCCGAGCCAAGGCGTGGGGGCTGGCTAGAGGGGAAACCAAGATGAAAACCAGGGCGCTGAACTCAAACTCCTCTTCTGATTATGCTGGTCTCCCCTGCGCCCACTTCTGCCACCTTCCGTTTCCGTTTCCGTTTCGCTTGGGCCAATCAAGACAACGCACCCCCTTCTCCCCTCGCAGCCCTGCCTCTCGCCCCAGTCTCTCCCGCTCGCACTTGGCTCTTCTCTTGGTTCACGATCGTCCTGTGGAGCTGGGTCTCCTGCATCTCCGGCAGGGCCCATCCCCTCCTCACCCCTTCAGCCCTGCCTCATGACAGAGGAAGGGGAGGCCAAGGCAGGAGTCCCGTGGGCCGACAGGGGCTCACCCCTGCTTGTCCGGAGCGCTGCAAGACGAAGACCTTTCTCCCAGGGACTGACCACCCCGGCTTCCGTGCGGGGGCGTGATGCAGCCTTGCTGATCCGTTCTGATTTTGACGGGCGCCCGGCAGAGCCTA